ATTAATTCAGAAAATCTTTTCAGGACCCCACCTTGATGTTTCGGGACCCCACTTTGGGTCCTGACCCCAACTTTGGGAAGCACTGCTCTACAGTAAATAGTATAGTACTCTATATTAATTGTGTCTTCTGTGGCTGAATGTCTGAGTGTCCTAGAAAACATAAATTGTGAAAAGCATTAAGTTAAACCCGTGTAGTAAGTTTGTGAAAGTATTTAAACTAGCTTCACTGGGCCTCATGCAAGAATCATTCGTACAAACACATTTGTTCTTAAGTTTTGCGTACAAGTGATTTGGGAGAAATTACTTGACGCATTCAACAGTTTTCATGTAAGATTTTTTTTTTCAGATACGAACAAAGTTCACGAGTGGTCCAGACCAGTCGTATATTTTACATGCAGTTGGTCTGCTGTTATCCAGACGGATTTTCTTCACTAAAAACTTAATATTTCAGTAGTGTGAAGATATGAGTTGAAATAAATCATACTCCATAATTATGTTGAAAAAGGCTATTCTCTGGCTATTAATGCTATTGTATAACACTGCAATATTAATATGAAGATCTCAAACTACAAACCAACTTAAATTATGCATTAATTGAAATGGGAAGACTTATTTAACATTWAATGCTGGTCTTATTTTGACCTTTTCCTCTGTTTCATGATCTATATGATGTCTGGAGCTTTAATATAAACATTTCTATAAACATTATAATTATATTTACCGTATTTATCAATAAATCGTCTACAAAACATTTTTAAGAGGTGAAAAGTCCCAATGGGAACAAATTACTTTTCATCCCAGAAAACAAGTACGGGAGACTGGGGACAGTTGCAACACTTTTGCATTTGACTCTGTTACTCAGAGATGGTTTGAATTAGACAAACCAAATTTTAATACCATAAACTTACATCTGTCTGTTAATAGTCAAAACCATTTATAGATGATGAAAGCATGTACTTTCTTCACAATTTGCATTTGAAAAATGAAGTCAGATGTTGCAACTGACCCCGGAGCAGGGGACAGTTGCAACATTGTTTGGGGGTGGTTACATGTTATCAAAACAATATATTTCACTGTAAATAAGTTTTATTATTTTATAATTATATTATTGCTTAATTCATAAAAACTGTAAGTTACGATATTACAGTGTTATTTATTCTTTCTGATCAAATGATGAATATTGATTTTCCTTGATGAGTAGACCTTATATACAGATGTCAAAGACTCAGATTGATATAAAATCCAGTTGGCTTTTAGAAATAAGGATAATAGAAGAATTTGTGAGGCAATTAACTTTTGTTTTGCCTATTGTCACTGTGCGCCTACATTATGCAAAAATTACATTGAAAGAAACTGGGATTTTAAAACCATTGTTGAAAACGACTGCAGAAAATACATCTTAAACACACTTGTACACTTAATTTAACCTTTTAATATCATCTGTATGTACTGTTTTTATTTGGATTTATTGCAACTGTCCCCCTTCCTGTCAGCCATTATAAAACCTCATGTGTTAGCTAAATAAGCTGATCTGGATACATGTAACTGTATTAGTTAAAAGTCAACATATCACTTGTTTAAACCATATAAGTTTGAGCTGGATCACAAAAACAGTGACAACAGTATAACAAAAATAAAGCTGGGCAAAAAAAAAAATACTTTGGTACCTCAAACAGTTTTTTTTAAATAAATTCTGGAGCAGTTTTTGAATCTGCTTACTTTTTCTTTTTTTTTTTGCAAGATGGGGCCTCTAACTGAACATGTACAGTGTGACTGTCATCACTCTAGCTTGTTTCTGTTTGGAGAAAAATGATGTGTTGCAACCTCCCCTTGTTGCTTTTGTCCCCGGTCTCCCCTAAACTGGTAAGTAAAAGATGAGTAAAAGAGAAAAAAAAAGTTTGGTTTAAATTTTATTATAAAAAGGTTCAACTTAAAACACACAAAAAACAAAATGTTTTGAAATTTTTAACTGAGCTCTAAGGTCACCTGTTAACACACTTTGTTTTTCACCCAACGTAAACAAAACCTTCCACCCTGTGAGTTCAAACTAAATCAAATTCTGAATGTTCAACAAAATACTTCTGTAAAACAGTTCCAAGTTCTGTTTGTTAAACAAAACCCTTCCAAGTGTCAGAGAAGAGCGTCCGACCGTTCTTCACCCCCACCGCTCGGTCACTCTGTCAGGTAGAAGTGCATTTTGTCRTTGACGTTCTTGCGCTCGGGATTGAGGCGCTTCAGGATCTGTGCCAGCACGTTGACCGTCTGCTCGCTGCTCAGGCCGGTGCGCTTGGTCTGGAACTTCTTCAGCAGGTCTTTGGTGGTCATCGGCTTACGGATCAGGTAGCGGCGGACCGCCTCCTCAGTCAGCTGCACGTCACTGTGTGACGGGGGGAGCAGAAACAGTTTTATACCTGTCTTTAATAATTACACAGTGTATCAGAATAAATGTGATCCATCACATCGAAACGAGGATTAAGTCCAAAAGTGGTATATGTAGGCAAATATAGTGTTTTGACTAAAATGTTAACAAAAACTGCATTTTTTTCAAAATAATTAATAAAAGCCTTATCAATTGTATCATCTGAATGAACTGTCTGAAATATAAATCACAACACAAAATTTTGAAGCACTTTTTTGAGCAGTAGCAACAAAAAACCTAATTTTGAGGAAAAATGCCTTAAAGTTTTGAGATTTTCCCTGTGAGCTAGCAAAGTTTAGTTTCTTTATAGCTGGGAAATCTCAATATTCAAATATAATTTGAGGTTTCCTCTTTATAAGGACATCAAAAAATACCTCATTAAAATGACATAAAAAAGGATTCAGACCAAATATTTATGTATTATTATAACCAACAAGACAAATTAATTCATATTTATGGATTTAATGATGATATCAGAATGATCCAGGTGTCAAAACGTAGCTTTTAAAGCCAAGAATCTGAAAATGTAATGAGGTCATTTTGACCAAATTTGACTTCATCCTCATTTCGATATGATGGGTCACAAAATAACATTTTTAATGTTTGATTTCATATTTTGCTTTGAGTAGCTTTAAGAAAATATTTGACTACATGTCAGCAGTGGAACGAAACTGAATTTTCAACTCATAAATTCAGTATTATCATCAATAGTAACAATACTGATGTCATTTATCACAGTGCATTGATGTCTTAAAAGACAGACAGTACCTTGAGCTGGGGGTGGATTTGCCTGATGGGGGCTGAGGCGTGCTCTTCCCAGAGGGAACAGGACTCTGACTGTTGGGCTCCATCTTGAGCCTTTTGGCCGCAGGCAAATCTGTAGGAGCGCCCTGTCTCTTCCCTGCACGAAAAGCCTCATTAAGTTAATCTTTAACGCAAAATACTTTCAATCGCCCAATTTTCTAGTTTCGCTTCATATTTTGTTGGAGTCAAAGGATTTCTGCTGGTTTCTAAAAGCGCACCTTGCTCCAGCTTGCTGGCAGCGGCACGCAGCGTGTTGGAGGTGGAGGCGGAGTCTATCGACGGCGTCCCGGGACGACTCCCCGTCCTGGAGCTGCCCGCAGAGCCGCGGCCACCCGCGCGTTTCGGAGGCGTCCGCTTYTTCTACAAATAGGAAACGTAAAAGAGATGAAGGAAATTTAGTGACTGAATTTTAGATTTTACACTTTGTGATCAATTATAGCTTCTGTGCAATTAAACAGGAAAATAATCAGTATGTTTCTGCTTAATGTGCCCCTCCTCTGCAGGATAAACACTTTTTGACATACCAATGTAACAGTGCTGATGTAAAAGGTCTCAGAGCCACCCACAGACAGCGACTCTGAGCATGAATTAAGCTTTTAGATCGGAAGAATAAACCTTTTAAAACAGGGAATTAACTTGGTTTTCTGTGCTATTATTCAGGCATCCAGTTTTTGGAACACTTTCTTACAAATATGTCATAAATAAAAGAAAATGTAGTATTCATTCATGATTCCTCCAAGTACTCATCCACACAACTATTGTCAACAAATCTAAATATAGTAAATTATAAGTAATTTATAAGAATAAAAAAAATCATCCAGTTTCTCAGGCCCACACACTCCAACCACCATGAATAAAGCTGAAGCCGTCTCTCCCTCGATGTCACTGTCATCCGAGCTCTCTGACTCCCCGCTGCTSTCTGAGACACAAAAATACACAGAACAAATAAAAAAAAGTGGTTTGGAAATTGTGCACGTTGCACTTTTTAATATTAGCTTGCAATTCTTACATTAAAATAAAACCTAAAAATCATAAAGCGCGTGTACCTTTTTTCTTCTTCTTTTCCGGTTGAACCGGGGTTTTCTTCCCTTCCTCCTCCTCTTCCTCCTCCTTTGCTTCATCTTCATTCTGTTTCTCCTCTTCACTCTCTTCTTCGCTCTCCGACGCCTCGTCAATCCCTACAAAAGACACAGTTAGAGAGAAACGATCACAACTGAGATTAATAAAAAAAAAATCCTGACAAAACTCAAGAACAATTAATTTTATTATTTTATATATTTTTTTCCTCATAAGGAAGCGTAGATTGTACCAACCCTTTGGGTGCTCCTCTTCTTTAGTGGGTTTTTCATTTGTCGGCTCTTCATCTGAGCTGATGATGGATAAAAAAAAATTAATGCAAACAACGACAACAACAAAAAACAAACAAACAAACAAACAAACAAAAAAAAAACATAAGTTCCTCCTCTCACGGCCTCATTTTCAGAGACTCCACAACAAACAGGGCTAAAAATTGCAACATACAAATAAGTTAGCATTCAYTTTACAGTAAGCATCTGTAAATACTCCAGGTATGGGCGTGAGTTACTTTTGGTCTATCAGCTTTGCCACGTCWTTATAAAGATGATAATTTTAGCTTTATTCACACATACTTTTTGAAAAGAAATGTAGTTATTGTGTATATGGGCAAAATACCCATACAGCGTTCCTACAGTTTAAGGAAAGTTAAATTTAAGACTTTTTAAGACTTTTTAATGCCAAGTGCAATTAAATTTAAGACCCATTTCATAATAAACACAAATGACCAAAAAAAAAAAAAAAACTGGCAGAAACTCACAAAACAAAGTATTTTGGTTGAAGTATTCAAATATTTCTAATAGACCAATTGTTTTTTATCAGTATCTAACTAAACAGGGTTCATGCAGGTTTCAGTAAGGTAAATTTAAGACCTTTTCAAGACCATTAGGAATAACACTTAAGACCAAACCGACACATTAACAGAAACATTCAAATGGTCCCAGAAATTTTAACATTTAAACCTTTTATTGCTATCAATTTAACTRTTAAAGAATATTTAATTGTAATACAAGAACATTAAATTATTTTAATGGAATGGTCATATCTATGAGACCTTCATATCAACTGATGTGGACCGGTTCCAACCGAGTGCAAAAAAATCACTGATATCAGCCAAGTCTCATTGAAAACACACTTTCCCATGTTTAAACCACAAACAGTGGACATGACTGAACTTTTTGGTTTTTTTAGGTGGGTGAACAAGCTGCCATATGCAGGGGGTTGTAGTAGTAAAAAGGTCTAAAACCCGGGCGTGAACTGTGCCATTTTTTTGCTTGCAGTTATCACAGGATTTGTAGTTTAACCACGTACCAAGACCAGTAGAAAACTTAGCACTTCAACCTCTGATTACAGCACTTTAATCTGTTTATTTATGCAGCAAGCGCTTCTCAAAAATGATCAAAAGTAAAAAACAAAAATAATAATAAGACTTGACAAAATAAAATTTAAGACCTTGGATGAAAATCTGGGCATTTTTAAGACTTTTTAGGCCTAAAATTTTGATTTTCAAATTTGAGACTTCCGCACGAACTCTGCTAAAGCAGAAAAATTCTTAGCAGTCAGTTTTAAACTTAATTAAATTTCTGGAAACCCTCTAACGACCAAAAATTTGGAGTTTTAGGACCCACGGTGGGGTTTTAACCCCAATTTGCTGTAGATGAAACCTTAAAGTGCCCGTGACATCATTTGGAAAGACAACATTATTAGCATATTATAAAACTAWTTTCACATTGCTCAGATGGACAGTTGTTGATATTTGCATGTGAAATAACGGGAAGTGATGTCAAAGGGGAACGTCTGCATGTGAATATTGAAAAAATAAAAGTTACCAATTATTTTAATATTTGAGATGAATTACAATCATCCTACTTACAATGTGTTAACATTTTTAAGACCTCTGAAAGATTGATTTAAGACATTTTAAGGCTAATTAAGGCCTTATTTTTGGATTGATGAATTCAATGACTTAAGACTTTTTAAGGATCTGCAGGAACCCTGCCATAATTCTTCACTCTGATCAGCATGAGAACAATGTAAGAGATACTGTACTCATAAAGCAGAGCTATACTGAGGAGGGTGTTGAGCAAGAAGGAATCTGTGTCCTCTGACCTGCTTTCATCTGACATATAATCCACCTCCAGACCCTCGTAGTCCCCATCATCGCTGTCTTCCAGGGCATCCTTTTCATTGCTCTTACGTTTCTTTTTCTTTCCTTTTCCTTTCCCTGTCGCTTTATTCGTCTTTACCTTGCTTTCTCCATCTGATACACACAAAAAAAGAAGCCCAAAGTAATAATAATAATAATAAAAAAAAGAAAATACATGGTACATGATGTTTCTGCCTCCTTACCATCCCCCATGCTGCTGTCACTGTCGTCGCTGCTCATCTCCAGGTCATCTTCCAGATCGTGGATGAGCAGGTCGCCCCCTCGCCCGCCTCCCTTCTTTTTCTTCTTCCCCGATTTTTCGGCCTCGTCTTCCTCATCGTCGCCGCGCTCCTGCTCCCGAAGACGCCGCTGAAGCATGATGCTGAAGTGGTTTACGACCTTGTTCCGCCTGCAAACAAAGAAAYGCAGAACTTTAGTTGTTGTTTGTTTTAATTCGAGCGCACATATATGAAATGCAAAATGTTCTAAATTATTTTTAAACAYGTGCTCTCCCGGGTTCATTTTCCTCACCTGCCCCACTCTTCTTCAGCTTCTTCRGCCGTCAGAGTTCGATGCTTTGCCTGTTGTGTAAAGTTGTACCACCCATGAACAGGAAAAGCCTCGAAAGCTCCATCAGGACACTGTGTGAAAATGTAGTAGGACGCATTTTCTGTGACGCCGCCCTTCTTCACCCCTTTGAACCTGACAGAACAGACAGGCAAGAAAAAAAATATATTCTCAAGGTTGAGAAAAACAAGTATTTTCATTTTTTTGTCCCTGAAAAAATAAAAGATCTAGTTAACTTTATGGAACAAAACAAACTTAAGTTAYAAGAAACATTTTAGAAAGGTTAAAACTTGTCTTCCATAAACAAAATGGATGGTGAGAGGGAACAAAGATTATATGAACAATTTCAAAACGTTTAAAAAATGTACTCCTTTCAAATTATGAAGCTGTTTAATCCTGCCTAAACACAATAATAAAATTATGAAATACAGTCAGTAAAGTGAGTGAAAATATAAATAAATCACACACATAAAAAAACAGACCCTCTTTCCTCACCTCTTGCCAGCTTTGCCATTGACCTTTAAAATCCACGGCTGATCCTCTGCCTTGAACTCGCGGGTCACAATGCCAAACTTCTTTCGCCGAGCTTCCTCACGCTGTTTCTTTCCAAACTCGCTGCCTGCACCACTCTCCGGAGTCTCCTCCTCTCCATATATCCGCCGAGCACTCATGTCTCTTTCCATACGAGCCTGAAAAGGCAGGTGTAAGTTACAAAACCCAATTCAAGTGTGAGATCTGGAAACTGGGTTATCTTTTTTGTAATCATTACTCTCCTTTATATTTCTCTAATTTGCTTTAAAAGCCACTTTTAGAAATATAAATAAATAAAGTCTACCTGTGTCCAGGTTGAACAGTTGACCTTGTCCCCTGCATTGAATGCCATAATATTGTATTTCTTGTTGGTATTTCTATCAGAAAATAAAACAAATATGCAATCAAAATATTATTCTGTTAACACTGTTTTCCCTCTCAAGGCCAGGAGGGGATATTTAACATTATGATTAATGCAAATAAGCAACTGTATTCACATTTGTATCTACATGTGGTTGAACAAACATGCTACTTACTTGGGGACTCTTACAGTATACTCTGTAGTTGAAGAACTGCTGTTTCCCTATAATAATAAAAAAGTAAAATGTTATGTTTGCCTTCTGTAATTCAGAGTTTAATTCAGACATGTTTGCTAACATAAAATTATTATAACAAATTGTGTCAAAAGGTGGACGAAACTTAGTGACTTACCAGAGAGGTCATGGTTGATTCACGTTTGAATTGCTTAACAGCTGTTTCAGTTTAGTTTAGTACACTTAAAAAGAAGAATTACATATGAGAATAATAAATTATTTAAGCAATTCTTGTTTAATCATTATTATCTGACAGAAAAAGAGCATAGAGGATGCAGCTCCCATTTCAAAACATGAGGCTAGTTAGTGTGATGATGCATCTGGGAAATATTTGCTTAAAAACCATCAGGATTTAACGTTAGCTCCTGTTGCTAAACACGGTTAGCTTTAACAATTCGATGCGTCAGATGGCTTTGCTCAGCTTTACTTTATCTTATGTATTATAACTTCAAATTCACTCACCTTTGTGTGAAACAAAAAATACATATATAGATTTAAGAGTCTTTGGACATTAAATGAAACAGCTTTTTAGAGGAGAAAAAATAGCAGGTGAACGATTTGTTCTATAGGTTAATAGGTTCGATAGGAAACATTTACTGGCAACAAATGGTTCCTAGTCAACAACTACGGTGTCCCCGAAGCAGGAAACCGTGTGCTTGGTTTGTGTTTTTGTATTTTTTATTTTTATATTTATTTTTTCAGGGGAAAAAAAGCATTTTAAATGTTAAAGTAAAATAAATTTACTGTGAGTTGAGCATAGAGATAACAGAAACAGCAGATTTTTTATTTATTTCATTTTATTGAAAGACATTTTTACAAATACAATAACAAATATAAACACAATTAAAAAAGAACAAAGAATAGAACACAAAATATGTAAAAAATAGTATGGCAAGTACAATAAATTTAAAACAAAGATGATTATGATAAGGTGATAATGACCTACAGCGTTAAAAGTTGTTTACCACTTTTTATTTTATTTTATTTTATTTTATTTTTAATCTGTGGGGAAATGCAGTTCGATTTTGTTAACAAAAACTGGGGAAAAACATTGAAGATCATGAAAATTTACATTTGTTAACATGAAATTTGCCAAATATTACAATTAAATCAATTGCTAATATGTTTACATTGGTATTCTTTCCAAGAAAACCAAAAACAGCATGTTCATATTTAAGTGAAAAGTTTGTATCAATAAGCAGTTTTTCATGACCAAACGTTGAAAGTGTTTTAACGTTTAACCAGTAGGGGGCACTGTTGATTTAATCAGCTGAATGTGGCTCAGTACAAGGTTTGACTTTTTATAAAATACACAGTTACAGCAACAAACTTTTATGTACTGAACAAATTCCAAACCAGTTTTGTTTAAATGACATCTGTTGAATAAATTTCTTCTCTGAGCTCTTCTCCCCCTGYCTGTATTATGTCATGAGGCGTGTGATTTGTAAAGTATTTCCATGACATATAAATGGGTTTGCATTATTGCTTTGCATTTTGATTTAAATCTTGTAAAAACAGTTTTTGGATGCTGTGCAGTGGCAGCTGAGGTTTTGTGCAGAGGAATCGGAAACCATGAAGGGCTGCACTTTTTTGCTTTTTCTGGGTGAGTTCATTGCATTTGATTTAGAAAAGTAGATAGTTCTTAAATAAATTGTATATATTGTTTGGAAGTTACAAAGAAAATGCAAGTAACAATTCAAAATTCAGCTCTTCCAAGACAATTAACTGCTATTTAAAATGTACATTAAGTTAAATGATAATTAAATGTTTGCATTAAGCTGAGTATTACATCAGTGATGTCTTATTTCTGAAGCATGTCTGTTTGCTTTCCAGGTTTTCTTCTTATCTGTGGCAGCAGTGTTTTTCCACCTGGTATGCATGATGTGATAAGATGAAAAAGTATTTGATTAAATAAGAATACCTCAATCCAATTGAAATAAACATTATTATTTTATATATGTTTTGTACAGATTCTTGTGATAATTACAAAAACATAACTGAACCATGGCGTAACTCTGGATATAAATCTACTTCCTTCCTGGGCTTCCCTAAAAATGATTCCCATCTTGCTGGGAATTGGTGGCGATTCGTGGGGATTGGTGGAGACAGAATCGTCACAGGCTGCATTCAAGGTCCACGTGGTGGGACCCAAAACCCAATCTATCTCTATTTTGCGTTTACACATCCAACAACGGAATCCAAAACGCCGTCAACAACAACTGCTTACACTGAAACTGGAGTTTGTGTGCAATATGGTGTGAAGATGGAAGTGGTTCTGTGTCCTGAAGGATTCTACATCTACAGACCAAACAGTTACTYATATCACGATTCAGCTTATGTTATCAGTAAGACTGATCAACGTCATTCAAGTTTCATTCAAATACATAATGTACAGCTTTGGCACTATTTTATTTATATACTGTTTTCCTGATAAAAGTTCTGGACATTTTTAAAGTTAAATTAATTCAGCATACTGAGAGCTTTTTGAACCATTCAAATCAAAACGTGTGGCTCAGTCAGTAACAATGGGCTATAACTTTTAATAAAAAGGATCAAGATTTAGAATTCTTTAGTGTTTTTTACAAAAATAAAAATATTTATAAAATAATCCAAGCAGAAATATTTTGAAATGTTTTAATTTTCTTTAGAAACTATGTTATGACTTCAGCTTGATTTTGTCTTTCTCTTTTTAGCTTTTAGCTACAATTGAGCAAATCTGAGTTTTTAGCTACTATTTTACTACATTTAGTTTTTAGCCATGCTTTAGCAAATTTGATCTTCTAGCTAATGTGGTAATTTTAGCTTTTAGWTTTTTTTTGCTCATTTTAGCAATAGACAATGTTTTATCTATTTTCATTTTTCTACTGTTATACTTGTTTTAACTTTTACATTTCATTTTATTATTGTTTTTCAGATTTTAGCTTTTGTTTTGCTTGACTGCATTTACCTTTTAGCTGTTTTCCTAATGTTAGACTCAACTACGATGTAACATTTTTAGCTTTTAGCTACTGTTTTGATATTTTTGCCTTTGACTATGGTTTGTCCAATTTTAGCTTTTAGCCATATTTTTTTTCCATTTTTGATTTTAAGCTATACAATTAACGCAATTCTAGATTTTGCTACAGTTTTTCTAGTTTGATATTTGTATTACTAGTTTTAGTTTTTAGCTTTTTTTTCTACGTAATTTTGGATTTAGCTTTTGTTCTTTTAATGTTTTACTGTTCTGCACAAATCATTTTGTTGCAATTGTTTTAAAATGCATTGTGCCATTTTAAATAGCACAATTCATTTCTTTGCACAATTTTCCTTCTTTCTGCATCTTATAATTAACTGTCTGTGTTCAGATCATTTTGAATGTAATCCAGACTCATGTGGACCTCTTGCTGAGTGTACGGTTACAGGCTGTAGTTGTGTTGCTGGATATGAAATGCAGCAGGATCAGTTACCAACAGCAGATTCATATCCTTGTGTTGGTAAATACTTTTCATTTTGTTTTTACACTATGTGGAATATTGGTTTAATTTTTCATAAAAAAAAACTGGTTTCAGAAAAAAAAATCACATTTCACAAATATAATTTACCTTCTATACAGATATAGATGAATGTCAGATAACTCCTGGAGTTTGTGTCCCTAACTCCAAATGTATAAACACCATCGGATCATTTTTCTGCAAATGCCTGGATGGATACAATACAACAAATCCTGAATTACCCCCTGGAGTGTCCAACCCATGCAAAGGTATCTGTAGGGATGAAAATGTGTCCATCGTATGGTTGGCTTCGACTTAACTTTTTTTTTCTTCCCCAGATATTGATGAGTGTCTTGAAAATATCTGTGGTGAGAATGGAGACTGTACCAACCAGATAGGAAGTTACAGCTGTGACTGCCACAAAAACTACTATAATGCACCACATATGGTTCCTGTTTGCCAAGGTTTGTATCTATAGTGTAGGAAGTGTTTAAGATCCAAACTGCATAAAAATGATCAGTGATCAGTTTGTATCAATATTCAGAATACAATAACAATTCGGTAGAATACAGAATTCCTCACTGCACCTAAAGGGTCTAATGACTTTGGGATTCATTCTCTGCTAATGGTGGATGATGTTCTGTTGGCATCATTGTGTCATGATCCTCAGCTAGCTCTGTTCAAAGTCAAGTGTGAAGCAGTTGAGGATCAGCACCTTCAAATCTAATCTTCAGTTGAAAAACAGTGGACTGCCCTCTTCAAAATGGTCTGAGGTGCTGCCTCAAGTGGAGGAGCTGTATACCTCACCTATGGTCACAGACTCTGGGTTTAAAGCAATTGACAGTTTTCTCAGAATGCAACAATAGCTTGGCTCTCCCTGGTGATAAATTAATTTAACCAGCAGAGACTCAGAGTAGAGCTGCTGCTCCTCCACATCAAAAGGAGCCAGGGGCCTCATGTATAAACGGTGCGTACGCACAAAAAAGTTGCGTGCATCAGGTTCTACGCCCACGTTGGGATGTATCAGAACCAACGTTGCGTCAAAGTCTGTCTATGTTTACACACACTTTTCACCTGCTGTGAGAATGTGCGGCAGCCACGYAAAGTTTTTCAGTGAACAGTTTTAACCCACAAAGTCATGAATCTGAMCTGAATCCACAGAAATAGGACTCTGTTGTGTTTTCTGGAAGTAAGGAGCATCTGAATACGGTGTTAGATTTTTATTTTAGTTTGAGTTTTTATTGTTTAAACTTGAACAATCATGAAACTGAACCTCAGACAAGAAAAYAGATCAGCCTAAAAATGATCAAAAGAACCTCAGTCCAGTCTGTAAACTGGAAAGCTTTTATATTTCTGTCACGAGTTGGAAACACACACTGAGCGCATGGCCTGCAGAGCACACACACAGATGAGGAAAATAAAAATGTGTGTGAATTTTCTAACATTTTTAATTTTCACTGAGAAGAAAAAACTTTGTCAAGTCAGCAGATTAATTCAGCTGCATAAAGTTGTGCATATGGATGAGCTGTCAGCTGTTCCCAGTCCCACACAGCGGCAGAAACTCACAGCGCTGAGTCACTCGTTCCTTCACTTCAACCATTTAATAAATATTTTTCTAAGTTCTACCAACACAGAGGAACTGATGTTCCTCTGTGTTTACAATCATTTATTAAAGACGTGTAAAGGTGGAAATGTCTGTCAGCCTCATGTGCCGCTGAAACTAACAGCACACACGCATGCACACCAACACCCACACACACCTTTGCGAGTGGCAAACTCGTTTTTACACCCCGCTGGCAATTTTATCACTCATTCTCCATTTAATGTATAATTTTCCTGCATCTAAAAATCTTTTCTGATCCCACAGAGAGGACAATCTGAGGAGAATCTCACACGCTGGACACATTTACATCTATTTTACATATTTAAATGGAGGCGTGTCAGGGGAGGGGTCTCAGGTGCACTCAGTTCCACGTTCAGGAACMTGCGTGCGCACRGTTTTATACATCTGAATATTTTGGTGCGGCGCACTTTTCTAAATTTGTATGTACGTCAACTTTTAGTGTGAAAGCTGCGCAATCCTTTATGCATGAGGCCCGCGAGGTGGTTCGAGCACCTGGGGTCAGATTTATAAAACTGGCGTACGCCACTTTTTACGCCAAGGTTGTGATTTATAAAGGAAAGATGCGCAGAAACATGCGTACGCACGGTTTTATAAATCTGAATTTTTTTGGCGTACGCCATTTCCGCCTTTTGGCCGTACATTCACTTTTAGTGAGGTTTCCACCCAATCCTATACAAATGAGACCCCAGGTGAGGGTGCCTCAAAAACTACATAGGGAGGCATTCCAGACATATACAGCTGAGCGGAGACCCCAGGGAAGACTCAGGACACACTGGAGAGTATGTCTCTCTACTGACTTGGGAACACCTTGAAGTCCTCCCAAAAATGCTGGTAGAGGTGGGTTTGGAAAGCAATGTCTGGACCTCCCTGTTTAAGCTGGTTTCCCATTGATTCCTGTTGGATGGATGGATGGATGGATGGATGGATGGATGGATGGATGGATGGATGGATGGATGGGTTCCCTATACCCATCATGTGGATGTTCCAAAAATATAGTTTAGGGTTCACAAAAGTCTAAAGATTTAACAAACTGACAAGTTTTCATTTAATTCCACGTGATTTAATTTGCCCATCATTTACTCATATTTGTTTCCATAAAATTATTTGCATTTTGTATTTTACGAGTTTTCAGCAGGATTTCTATTTGTCTCTTGGCAGATATCGATGAGTGCAATGAACCTGATGCCTGTGGTGAACTAACTCTGTGTATGAACGCACCGGGAGGTTTTTTTTGCTCGTGCTCTGATGGATTCTTTCCGTCAACTGGAGTTGTGTGGAAAATAGGGGTCACGTTTTGTAAAGGTGGGATCAGAATCTGTTTTRTTTGCAGTTGTACACACCGTCACATCCAAATGTGACAAATAACCTTTTGTTTGTTTGTTGTTTTCCTCTCTTCTGACCTGTAAGATCTTCAGCTGATTATGGATGAGATAACTCCACCTGAGGTAAACAATGTCGGAAAAGTGGAACTTTCAAAATGAATGCAAATATCTTTAAGATTCCATTAAAAATAATTAAAAAAATATTTGGCTGGCAAATTAGAAGAGAAATATCTTTGCTTATTTAAAAATATTTTATGGAGATTAAAAATAATTCCCCATAGATAAGTTTAAGACTTTAGTTATGAATTTATGTTATGGTTATGAATAATCTAGGATTATGAATGTTTTCATACCGATTAAAAATAAATCTTAAATTAAGCTTCTGTTTGAATGCTACATATGAACATTTCAATGTTTAAGCCACATGTATATAAAAAATAAACACATTTCACTAAATAGCAAACTAGTTCTTGTCTTGTGACCTAAAATACCTGATTTTTTTTTCTTTTGCTTTTTGGATTTGCTAAATAGGGGCAGACAAAACAGAGAACATTTTTAATCAACCTGGACGAACAGCTGAAAAATAACAAAGGCATCGTCTTGGCAGAAGAGGTCAGTGGAAGATCATTCCATGAAATTATACTCAACATTGTGCCAAATGTCATTTTCCTAAAAAGTGAAAAAGTTTAGTAAAATGTTGAAGCTTAAAGTACCTGTGACATAAACTTTTTTATGATAAATGTGAATGCGTTTTTTGAAAGATAACATGAAAAAATATTGCAAAAAATAAACACGTTTACACCACTGAGATGAACAGTTGAGACATTTGCGTGTGAAGTAACAGGGAGTGATGTCAAAGGGGAATGTCTGATTGTAAACAAAGCATTGCTACAACAGCCAACAACACAAAGAAGATACAAATTTAGTGTTTCTTTAGATTCTTTGATTCACTATCAATTCAATTCAGTTCAGTTTGTTTCTATAGCACCAAGTCACAACAGATGTCGTCTCATGGCACTGTACAAAAAAAAAAAAAAGCCAGCAAATTGCTCTTAATCTTCAGTTCATTACAGTCTGTCATCCTGAGCAGCACAATGGCAGCAGTGGAACGGTAATCAGAGAGAGATGAAGAGGCAGGGACCAAATAATATTGTTTCAATAAACAAAGACAAGGGAGTTGTCTTTCTTAAAGAGTTCACWTTTGATATCACTTCTTGTTTCACTATGGTTGACCCAAGGTCAAAAGAAAACATGCCAGGTACGGTATGTGACAAAATGGGTAAAATCATGTGTATTATGCCAAGTTACTGAAATGTCCAGTTTTGTGTTTTCACTTTTTGTATTTGAAAGAAATGCATGTCACAAGCACTTTAAAAAAAATCCTTTTTTTGTATTTATTCTTTAAACTTAAAGCACAAGCATTGGAATGATTTTAGTGTTGAATGATTCAGGCCAACATGTTAGAAAATATGAGGATTTTGAGTTTAAAGAAACAACCATAAAGGAAGCTGAATATTTTCTCACCTGATTACAAATCCTCTCTTTTTCAAACTTGTTGCTACAGTAAATTGTACATTTGCCTACAATATCCACATAGGTTGCAGCTTGTGTCTGTAAAACAAAAAGTTCTAACATAATTTAAGGTAAAATCATCAGTCRTGCATTCACCTGTACATTAATTTAACTGTAGACCTTGTAGACTGAGGAGTTTTTGTATTTGTTGGGCAGTGTTGAATTTTGTCTGTTTTGTGCACTTGTTTTATGAACTGTTATCCTTTTATTCTGCTCAGGACTATGGATGAAATTTAGCTCTTGTGTTAATTCCGGCGCATTTATATTCACCGAATATTGATTAATGTGCATTGTCCTTTTTAAATAAATAAATAAATAAATGAATGAATATTTGCACAGTTTAGGAATATGTGATAATATTATTGTAATATTATTCCTTCTCTATCTTTTTCTTCTTTTTTCCACAGATTGTAGCAAATGGCTTCTCTGTATCAATGGTACAACAGTTTTTTAATCAACCAAAAAATAATACCTAAGCTCTTCTTAGATTTTGGTTCTTGGCTTAATTCGGTAGATGACCTCCTTTTTGCTGTACATGTTTTATTTGTAAAGGAGGTGGCAGGTGTTGGACCCCGTGCACCATCAACACAGGTGAGGAGTGAAGGAGACGCAGAAACTGGCAATCTGATCCTGAGCATCGCGGACCGCTTGGTCTCTGCGATGGTGGAGCCGGGTCAGAACCAAGCCAAGAAAACTCTAAAGACTCCAACAGTGGGTAAGGTCTGTTTTTCTTTACCTTCAACAAATTTCTGTGCTTTGTGTTTGTCTAATGAAAGTCTGCTTTCTGTGCCAGATTTGGTTCTTGAAACGATCAAGTCTGGAAACAACAGATCAGAAAGCTTCGACCTCTCATCCGGAAAAAACTCCATGGAGATCAACTTGGAAGCTATAGCCAAAGTGAATAACGGTGAGGGAAAATGGTACTATTTTCTAAATTATACTCTGTCATGGTTCTCAGTCAGAGAAGGGGTGCTCTGCACTTACCAGGTTAGGGAGCGAGGTGCTGCCTCAAGTGGAGGAGTTCAAGTACCTCAGGATTTTGTTTACGAGTGAGGGAAGAATGGAGCATGAGCTTGACAAACATATCGGTGCATCAGTGCTGGTCCATTGTGGTAAAGAGAGGACTGAGCTGCAAGGAGAGGCTCTCTGTTTACTAGTCAGGTCTACATTCCTGCCCTCAACTACAGTCACAAACTCTGTGTAGTGACCAGAACAATGAGATTGTGTGTACAGGTGGTCAATGTATACACACACATATATACAGTATAC